CATCCCCCGATGCAGAGTTCCGGGGTTTGTGGACTCTGCTTTGGACCACTGTGCGATGCTCCGTCCTCTGAGTCACAGGAGCGGAGGGGTAACGTGGAGGGAGGCTCTGCTGAGCATCTTGAAATCGACTTTGCTCTCTTTGTCAGAACAGGGCCCCAGTAAGAGCGCTGAGATCCCTAAAAGCTTTGAAGTTACTCTTGTGCCATCCATTGCCTATTGTTGAAAAAAAAAAAAAAGCACAAAACCCAGGACTCCTGAATTCACTGTCTCAGTGACTGTGTGTGGCGGGGGCCCTGGTGCGTCTCCCATCACCCATCCCACAGCGGCCACGTTGTTAGGTGGGATTAACAGCCCCACTTGGCTCTAGGGCCGGGCTCTGATTGCAACAATCCATCAAAATAGCCTTGCTCCATTGCCATCCTTATTGATTTGAGAGACTAGGATTGAAGTCGATGACTTAAGCCTTTTGTTAGAGCTGAGGGAAGTGTCCCCTTTTTCCCTAGATGAGGAGGACGCTTGTGTATCTGCTTGTGCTGCACCTCGGGGGCTGCTGAAGCTGTGGTGATGGAGAAAAGAGTCCTCTGAGACATTCCTGGGCCCCGGCTCTAAGTCCACATGTGGAGATTCCTAAAACCTTCAGATTCCTGTAGTGTTCGTTTATTTCAATGTTGGCTGCTTTTCCTGCGACTTGCCAGGAAAAGCTTCTTGTATGAAGCAGAAGTCAGTGCGTGTCTCAGACACAAAAGCACATTAGAATGGCCACAACTGCTTCTGCTTCTACCTTTAGTGGTGCCTAGATTTGATGTCTTGAACTGATATATGATTAAGTTCAAGTCTTAATAGGTTCTGCAGTTTTCTCCTAGTGGTCGAGTGGTTGTCCCACCTTTGATACTGTTGGTTTATAGTTTATTCTCCCCTACCCTCTTAGTAGAGGGCTTCTGACTTTTCTGTTAGGGAGCAGTTAAAAACGGGGGGCATGGAGTGTGGTAACTCTTCTCAAGTCAACACAGTTACTTTTACCCATAAAACCTCTGGCCAGTTGTTCACAGAAAAGGCAGCTCCTCTGGTTAAAAAGGAGCCCAGATGACAGCGAGGCCCCGCCTTCCTCGGGCCGACTGTATAACGGGGAAAGGGTTTTGTCCTAGGACAGTTTTGTTGCAAGATGAAATGCAGAATGAACAGACAGAAACAGGGTCAGTTGTGCCCAAATCCAGATCTGTGGCTCCTCTCTTTATTAGTTACTGTTAGACCCCAAAAATCTAGGGTCTCAAGGGGGTGCCCCAAGAACTCAGACTCCAGTCCAGTTGATGCAACAGCAAGAGGTGTTTATTAATGCGGCTGTACAGTCGGGCAAACCCAGCTCCAGAGAGCAAGAGTCGCATCTTACTGTAGTCACATGGGTGATTTGAAAGGAAAAACCCACAAAAGCCATAAGATTACAATTCCCATACAATTTCGTTTCACAAGATCATGGTCTGATCACAGAGTGGGTACAGTCACGTCTGCATGTACATTCTTCCTGAAACCTCAGGGGGGTACCAGGGCGGGAGTGGAGCTTACACAAAGGTCACAGTGGCCCTTCCTGGAACACCTGCAACTATCCCAGTCACAGTTGAGCACGTCTCCTAACACAAATCTTTTTACATTGTTACAGGGGTGGCTGAATAATGATTGAGTCAGCTTGCCCTTGGAACTAGATTTTTAGTTTCTCATTTCCTGGGGTTTGGGGGTGTAAGCCTGAAGGGTTAGGGTCTTTCAGTTACCTTTCTCATTGTGACCAAAGGCCGGGCAAGAAGCAACTCAGGAGAAAGGGTCTGCGATATAGGACGGGACAGGCTGCCTGCGTGCGCCTTCAGTGCGGACCTGATGCCTCTTTTGTGAGACAGCCGCTGAGGAGACTCCAGGGCTCACCTTGGACAGTGAGAAACCCAAGCAAGGAGTCAAGACTGGGAACAATGATCGTATTAATCAGAAGGTGATGGGGGCCGATGGCAGTGGTGCAGTTTAAGATGAAAAGGTATCAACCATCTAGCAAACCCATGAAAGCCGGCTGTGAGCGACAGGGTTGGTCAGTGAGGCAGGCGGGAGTCTGATGTGATGGGCAGCCAATCATAACACAGACACAGCCGCAAAGATGAGAAACCGGGAGGATGAATGCCATGGTGCATTCCAGTCGCAGACAGGAAGTATCTACTAAAGAGGAACCTGTCCCTTCCTCCAGAATTATAACAGACCAAGAATACATTCTCAGTTAGTGCGGTCTGATTCCAACACAGCCCGCTGACTGTACGGTTTTCTCTAGTCCTTCATCTCCCCTTCCCCATATCTTTATTGGACATAAAGTAACTGGTGGGGATGCAGAACATATTGTACCTTTAAAAAAAACAAACAAATGGGTTTGATCGGCATCAAATGAAGATGGTACAGGGAATGTACTGGTTCTGAAAAATGCCTCCTTTCTCCATTAGTGGCATGCTCATTCAGATCTGAACTTCATATTCCAGTAAGTTATTTTGTTTTAACAACAACAACAACAACAACAAAACCCAACAACATAAAACTCTTCACAGATCTTGTTCAATTGGAGAATTTTAATGTTTTTCATTTATCATTGTAAAAACAAAGACGACAGTTTTATAGCTTTCGTACCTAGCTGTTACACACAAGGCAATCTGTCTTTAAGTAGGGTTAAATTACTCTGGGGGTGGGGGCGGGGGGGGGGGACGGTGAATCCTAGATAGTTTTCCCTTCATGTCAAGCGTCCTGTTGTTTAAATAAACTTCTCATTGAATATTTTTAAAAGAAGAGATACATTTTGTCCTGGCAGTGAAGGCCTGGTATCAGAAGCAGGAGGGAACTGGTCACATTGTGTCAACCCCACAGAGGACAAAATAGACCCCACGCGTGACCATGGTATAAAACAGCAAGTCCAGCAAGTACTGACTTGCGGCCAGGCTCCACCTTCTAAAGCAGTGGTTCTCAACCTGGGGATCATGATCTCTTAGGGGTTGAATGATCTTTTCACAGGGGTTGTCTAAGATCATCAGAAAACACAGATATTTACATTACAGTTCATAACAATAGCAAAATTACAGTTATGAAGAGCAACAAAGGTAATTTTGTGGTGGTGGTGATGGGGGGTCACCACAACATGAGGAACTGTATTAAAGGGTCACAGCTTTAGGAAGGTGGAGAACCACTGTCCCGAAGGCTTCCAAACCTCCCAAGCCACCATCACTAGCTGAGGACCAAGGGTTCAAACACAAGAGCCTATGGGACATTTCCCATTCAAATCACAAGGCCCTCACACATGGAACACAGGACTCCTTCGATCTTCTAAAACCCCTATCAGTTCTTCAGCTGACCTTCTTCAGATGGGGGGCAGACTTCTATGGGGAAAGATTCGAATGTTTAGTAGTGGTAAAGTCAGGAGATTGGCTTCCACTGTGCCCTTTGGAAATGATGCCAGTCTTCCCGAGTGAAGCCACAGGGCAAGCCTCTGACGGACAATAGTTGAGCCAAAGCCCCGAACAATGAATTGTGCATAAGAGGACACATGAGTACTTCACACAGGGGGAGTCCTGCTATTTATTTCCAAGCCAAGGTGATTCCCATCAGCAGCCTGAGCTGGACTGGGTAGGCTAAAGGGCATGGTTGGCAAGAGAGTAAAAAGCTATTTCTACTCGGTGACTAACCCCATTCGATTGTCCTAAGTACATCTGGCTTCTCGAGTGTGCTTTTACTGCAGATGATTATGAATGTTCCAAGTGGGCTCACTGCGGCCACCTGGCTTAAGGACCGTGAGGCACTTTGGAAATCCAATTTCAAGAGAGAAGATTGGTTTGAGAAACAGTGAACACGGAGAACTCTTCCCTGGGAGGAGCAGCCGGGTGTCAAAGTTTCCCTCATTATCTTATGGCAGGTAGAAAAGAACAAATTAAGACATTTAACTGCCTAAAATTTGAGCTCCAATTGCATTTAACACCACAAATCTTGTTACCAGAGCCGTGAGCTTACCTTCCCCTTGTGTGAGGTCTGCTATGTCTCAGCAAATAGCATTTCTTAAAGCTGGAGTCTGAATCTGGGCTAAGTGGATAATCACTGGTCCGTGTTCTCTCCTGGATACGAGAAGGTCCTTTAAGACTCAAAGATTTTTTGATAGTAGATTTTTTTTTTTAAATCTCTGTGAGAGGGGGCTGGAGAGATGGCTCAGCGGTTAAGAGCCCTAACAGCTCTTCCAGAGGACCCGGGTTCAATTCCCAGCACCCACTACTGTAACTCCAATTTCCAGGGGATCTGGCACCTTCACAGGCATACATACAGGGAAAACACCAATGCACATAAAATAAAAATAAATAAATCTAAAAAAAGTAAAATCTCTGTGAGAAGACCTTAAAATCACCTTCTTGCCTGGCTGCCATTGCTAAGACCAGCATGCTTTAAATTAATAGCAATTATATGACCGTACGAGTTCTGCAGTTTAATATATGAGGCCGTTCAGATGCAGGGATTAGCCTTTCGAATTGGCTCCCATAATGAAAGAACCATTAAGAGCTGAGTGGTGTTCCAAGAACTCTTCAAAAATAAAATAAAATAAAATAAATCAAAGAGAGGAAAAAAGTGGCTCCCTTCCCTTTGGCCAGTCACAAATATTTTAATCACATTTTGATGAGATGATGATGGTTGTACTATCTTTCCATCCTACATGCTAAATTAACAAGACCGTCTCATTTCCTCCTTTGAAGGCACATTGAGATGAGTTTCTACTAATTCGACATAAAGCAAGATGTGGACATCTCAAAAGTCTTGCATGGTGCCTGGAGTCAGCATTTTCTCAAGTGGGCACTAGGCTGGGGCACGGTACAAAAGGATTTGCGAAAGACCCCCGCCATAATGTTCAATCAGCTGGCAGAAATGAATCTCGGTAGTCCTAACACATTCATGAAAGCATTTTATATTTTCTAACAATGTTTTTTAAATCCTTATTTGCGTGTCTTTAGAGAGAACATGTCTCGAACGTGGAGTACAGGTAGTTCATATTTGTCTACAAAGCGAGAGTGATGAATGGAGCCATCGGGAGAAATGGATGATCTCAGCGCAGCCTAGCACACAATTACTCATTCGCTTCCCACGCTTCGTGTGTCTAAAAGACTTGGAAGTAAGGCTGCAGCTTAAACTTTTTGTTATTCTGAATAGTTTTAAATCCATCGACTTGGAATTTTGACCCACTTGCTAGAAATATGAAGGGTCAGGAAAGAGGAAAGTGATTCCTGTTTCTCTGTTTGGGGTTTGAATATCTGGACATTAATCGTTTTTAAAATTCCAGGTATAGTAAACCAGCACAATTACCAAAAATATAATGCTTCATTAGTCCAGCACACAGAAAAGCAGCATACCACCCAGCAACCATCTACTTGCTACAGGTCATAGGGGTCAGATGCACAGCCCTTGGGGAAGCCCAATGATTGCCACAGCATTCCTCAGATTCGTGGGAGACAAAGACACAGGGCCAGAGTTTGGATTTTCTCTAAGATGAGCTGATCTCCAGACATCTGAGATCCAGGTCTAAACTTCAAATGTGTCTATGGTCATGCCGCCTTGAATGTGCCAGGTCTCATCTACACTTCAAACTTATCCTTGAGATACGCCCTGTTCTGAGATATTAATGGCTATGAGACTAGGTAAATTAGGTCTTCTCCAAATTTGTATGGCAAAGTCCTAACTCCCAGAACCTCAGAAGGTGGCCTTCTTTGGAAATGGGCTTGTTCTGGATCTAAACAAGAGCATGAGTGCGGGGAGGTGGATGCTTCGTGGGACTCATCTTTGAAGAGTACATGCAGCAACGTGGTGATGCACTGACTGAGAACAGCGAGAGGAGGGGCGGGTTTGAAGGAAGGAGAGCTTTTAAGATAGATTTTAGATGGGTTGAAATTTGGATCCACAGGAGACATCCAGTAGGCACGTAGGCAGACACGTAAGGCGTGTGGTTGAGGAAAGTCTGGGCTAGAGATACAGATTTACAAGTCCTCGTCAGGTAGAACCGGAACAGGGTGACTATGACGATTGAGAGGAGGAGAGAGCCCAGAGCAGGCAACTCAGGACCTCCAGTAAAGACAGGGAAAGCATGGGTGAGGGCGTTTTCAAGGAGACTGAGAAAGTGGAGCCAAAGCGGTATCAGGAGAGTTCAGCTCTGAATCACACAATCCCGGGCAGATCGGCAGTCAGACCTCCAAAGATGCTGGGAGCGAACGAAGTGGGTGACCCCGCAGTGGCAGCATAAGCCCCAGGCCTGTAGGCTTCGCACCAGAACACGGCCCCCCTGCACTCAGCTGCTGCAGGTCTCCCTGCCTCCTAGCGGTAGTTCAAGGGGCCAGACTTGGTCCAAAGTCTCTGCCACATAGGGTAGAGGCCAGCAACCATGAAGGTAGTGTGAGAGGGTGTCAGGGCTGACATGCTCTGCTTCAGCACCAAGGCCACACTTGTCACTTACCCTTCAAGGTTTTAGGTGAAAATGGGTTTTAAACTGAGTACAGGGTTACTAAATATCAAAGTCCTTTTATACATCCAGGAAGAAGGGATGGATGGATAGATAGATAGATGATAGATAGATAGATAGATAGATAGATAGATACATACATACATACATACATACATACATACATATATACATCATACATACATACATAGATGTGTATACATAGATGGATAGATAGATAAATGTATAGATACATAGATAGTGATAGATGATAGACACATAGATTCATACATATATAATTATACATATATACATAGATGCATAGATACATAGATGGATACATAGACACATAGATACATGCATACATAGATGCATAGGTACACATAGACACATAGATACATAGAACTGAACATAATGATCAGATAAGGTAAAAGACCAAAAAAGTGCCTCTTGGCTGCATTAACAAAATTCTCTGACTCTTAAGCAGATCGTACTGGTGGATCCTTAAAAAACACAGTTGAGGCCGGGCGGTGGTGGCGCACGCCTTTAATCCCAGCACTCGGGAGGCAGAGGCAGGCGGATCTCTGTGAGTTCGAGGCCAGCCTGGTCTCCAAAGCGAGTTCCAGGAAAGGCGCAAAGCTACACAGAGAAACCCTGTCTCAAAAAAACCAAAAAAAAAAAAAAAAAAAAAAACCACAGTTGAGTAGTGTCCCTAACTATCATTCTGAAATAATCCCTGATGGCTCTTCTAGCCCTAAGGACCTTGGCTTCTAATGGGCAGATCTTCTAGTCTCTCTGACACCCACAAAAAGCATGAGCCAGCCATAAGGTGTCTTCCATCACACACAAGCCAACTTGGATGAGCGTGTGGCCAGCCTGGCTGACTTTGCCTTTTCCGACAGTCTAAAGTATGAATCAATTGAGCTGTGTGGAGGCTCCAGTCTAAGCCAGAACCTTTAATTGCATTTTCTTCTCTCATGACAAGTAATTAGAAATGACTGTTTCCTACCAGTCTAAATTACAAGATGATTATTTCCCTTTTCCAGTCACTAGCTGCTTGGCACTGCAAGACTCTGTATTATCTTTTTTAAGTATGCTGATGATTGGGGAAAGCAGCCAATAAGAAGCAATTGTCCAGCTTTTGGGACAATTGTGGTCATAAAGAAGGGGGAGGGTGGGGAAGGTTCCATGGAGACCCCACGTATATAGATATTTCAAAAGGTTGTCTTGGAAATATGGGGAAGTCACTGTCACAAACCTACTTTTTAAACTAGCTCCCCTCCCTTGTGGGGAGCTAGTTTAAACAATAATTATTATTATAAAGTTAGTATTAAAATAATTTTAATATTAGCTTTAAAAATATGAAACAAATAAAGGCAAAAAAAAAAAAACCCACCCCACAATGAACAAGACTCCTGGCCACCTAACAGGATGGGAAGGCCAATCACTATCAATTAGAGAGTTCAACTGTGCCCAGTTCCTCCCAATTCCAGTTCCTCTTCTGATCTCCACAGGCACCTGCAGACAGGTGGTGCACATAAACTCATGCAGGCGCACACATACACGTCCATAAGTAAGTAAATCTTTTCTATTGAGTCCTGACAGAAGAGGCTTGCTCCTTCCCTCAACCATCCTCAAGTCCACGGAGCCACCATCACACGCTCCCACCACTGTGACACCATATCCTCATGCCCACACTGTGACACCATATCGTCATGTCCACACTGTGACACCATATCGTCATGTCCACCACGGTGACACCATATTGTCATGTCCACCTCTGTGACACCATATCCTCATGTCCACACTGTGACACCATATCCTCATGCCCACACTGTGACACCATATCCTCATGTCCACCTCTGTGACACCATATCGTCATGTCCACACTGTGACACCATATCGTCATGTCCACACTGTGACACCATATCGTCATGTCCACCTCTGTGACACCATATCCTCATGTCCACCTCTGTGACACCATATCCTCATGTCCACACTGTGACACCATATCCTCATGTCCAC